CACTAACAGAATTATGTTAACTCCAGAACACATGAACCAGCCTGACGTGACTTCCATTAATCAAATTCAGAACAGTCTGCAACAAGTACTATAATCCCAGCACTCAAAGTAAACTCAAGGCCAGCCTGAACTCCACAGCAAGACCTTGTCTCAAAAACATGAAGGGAAAAAAAAAAGAACAATTAGATTAAAAAAGAAATAAAAGGGGCTGGTGAGATGGCTCAGTGGTATAAAGCACCTACTTAGAATAAGCTAAGCTAAGCATAGCACAGGGACCGCGGTTCAATCCCCCAGCACCACATGCCAGCCAGCCCCGACCCCTGGTGGACTGAGCTGGCCACACACACAAAATAAATGAATGAATGAATAAATAAATAAATAAATCTTTAAAAAAAAAAAGAAATAAAAGGCACCCCCAGCACATGCTGAGACTGCAATTGAGATTGGGCTTGGCGGCACATGCCTGTAACCCCAGGTCTTGGGAGGCTGTAAACAGGTGAGTCACTATGAGTCCGATCTAGTAGTCAGACCCTGAACACCCTGTAGACCTTTCCTTAAAACACAAAAGAAAAGAAATAAAAGGCAGCAATGGATTATACAACATTACATTTTTAAAAATCATGGTCTACTATGATTAAGAAACAGAACCCAATTATAGTTTCATAAGAATATATATTCATCAAACTCCACACTTATGATATCTGCATTTTAATCAGATGCAGTGGCATGTGCCTGTAACAGCAGCTACTGCAGAAACTGAAGCAGGAGGATCCCTTAAGCCCAGCACTCAGGGCCATCCTCTGCAACACAAAGAAACCCCATAAAAATGGGTAGTTGGCGAGTAGGAATAGTACACCTTTAAAAATGTGAAAAACAGAAAATTGCACTTAGAAAAAATACCAACTAAATCAATGTAGAAGGGGGCCAGGTATATAGCTCAGCAGCATAAGCACCTGCCTGGCAAGTGCAAAAAGCCGTAAGTGTAGAAGGAGGAGAATACTAAAAAAACTACCCAGTTTGCAAACACCCATCTAATAACTAATTCAGTCAAGGATCATCAACAAATTTTACAACTACTGGGTAAAATATAACTAGAAAACAGGTTATTCACAATGTCTCAATTATTAACTTTATTACAAAGTAAGTGACTGAGTACAATGTAGAAATCCAGCTTACCACCAATAGTGAGAAATAGTGGCACTGTAAGTTGAACTTTTATATAAATACGGCATTATAGGTTTCATTCTCATACATAAATACGTAAGAGTTTGGGATCTTTTAACATGAACAAGATTCGACCCTAAATCTCAAGAACTCAGTACTTCAGTGAGGTCACAAAGGAAAAAAAATCATTTCAAAAATACAGCAAGTGACAAGAAAGACGTCAGGAAGGAGGCACAAGCCTGTGTGGCAATGCACGCCCACAATTCTAGTGCTCGAGGAGGCAGCAGCAGAAAGACTGTGCGTGCACGTGGAACCTGGGAACTCAGGGACTTAGGGAGACCCGTCTCAAAATAAAAAAAAATTTCCAAGGGTTGGGAGCCAGGCGTGGTTGCGTACCCACAATCCTAGCATTCAGGAGGCCAAGTCATGAGGATCAGGCAAATCTGAAACCAACATACGCTACTTAGGGAGTTCAAGGCCAGCATGAACTACATCGTGAGGCCCTGTCTCAAAAACCCTGAATGAATAAATGAATGGATGGATGAAGATACAGCTCCATGTAAAGGCCTTAGCTCAACCTCCAGCATCACATTCACACCAAAAAAAATAAGTGGGGGAGGACAGAATAAATTCTACAGTTTACATTGCTTTACTTAGTTGAGAACTATAAGAAGGCTATGCTTAACATTACGATGCTAGCAAAAGAGATTCACAAAAGGTGGTAAAGACTCAATGTTCGAGACATATCTGTGCCGTGGCCAATAAGGAGTACACATGCACTCTGACAAACCAAAAGGATGCACAGACATCAAGACAGAGTTGAGGGTCCTGGATGTATACTCAACAGCTGGAATCACAGGGCAGAAAAGAGAGTTACGGAAGAGTGAAGATAGAAAAAATGAATGTACAGAATAAAGCATAAAGAGGTGACGGGCTGGGGAGATGGCTCAGTAGAATAAGTGCTTGCCTGGCAAGTACAAGGGCCCGAGTTCAATTCCCAGTTCCGCCAAAAAAAAGAGATGACAAAGATGACTTAAGGAAGAGTCAGAGGGTAAAGAGGAAACCAAAGAAAAATCTAGTTAAAATTTTATAGAGGAAACAATAATCATATTAAATATACACACGAACAGAGATCAAGTAAGATACAAAATGAAAAGACCTCAAAATTTAGCAATTTAAATTCAACAATAACTTGGATAGTGCAGTCTCAATGAAAGTATTTAGCTCAGTCAGAGGAGAATTTAGGACTGACCCAATAGCTCAGCAGATTAAAGAGCCTGCAAGCAGGCGCAAGGACGGGTTTGATCCCTGGGCCTGCCATGCCAGCCCCGCCCTCGGGGCACGCTGAGACTGCAATTGAGACTCAGCGTGGTGGTGCGCGCCTGTAATCCCAGCTCTTGGGAAGCTGTAAACAGGCAGAACACTATGAGTCCGATCTGGCAGTGTGACCCTGAACACCCTGTAGGCCCTTCCCTAAAATACAAAAAAAAAAGAGAGAGAGAAAATTTAAAAACTAAACAGATACTAAGAAAACTGAAACAATACTGAGTATTTCCCAAGAAAATTTATGAAAAGAGGCAGAGTCAGGCAATATCCAGGAAAGAATTTTTATTTTTAAAATGACACGAGACTTGAAAACATGTATTTGAAACCATCTTGAAAACGTAGTTGGTGGGGAGCAGATGCCCAGTCCAAAGAGGAAACACAAAAGAAAGATTTCCCAAATGACATACTAAACTTAATAAAGAAGTCAAAAGAGTAGAACATGCATGAAATCCAAGCTACTCTGGAGGGTGAGGCAAGAGGATCATAAATTCAAGGCCAATCTAGACAAAGATCCTATCTCTCAAAATAAAACATTAGAAGGACAGAGGATTGCCAGAAATGATGGTGCATACCTATAATCCCAGTACTTGAGACACTGAGGCAGGAAGACAGCTCTGAATTTGAGGACATCCTGATGTATTACACCAAGATCCGGCCTCAAAATGTGATCATTATGTATATTTAAAATGTACCAATAGGGGCCAAGGAGATGGCTCAGTGGAATAA